GGGGCCTCTGGAGGGAAGGGAGCCAATGGCTGTTGTAGGGGCAGGGCTATGAGGGTGGAAGGGCCACAGGTCAAGAGGAGGAGCCACTTGCATTGGGGGTGGGGCTTGCCATAGGTGGGGTTGGGAGGGGCAGCACATGGAGAGAAAGCGGGGCCTGTGGGTACTGGAGGGCCCAGGCTGTGGAGGGGAGGAGAGGGGCTGCACATCAAGATGAAGGGGGGCCCTGTGGGTTCTGAGGGGGCTCTGGTCATGGGGATGGGGACTGACTGCACATCCGAGAAGGGGGGCTCAAAGGTGCTGGGTGGCCCTGGCCAGGGTGGTGGCAGGAAGGGCAACACATCATGGTAAGGGGGGGTAATGGGTACTGGGGTGTTTCAGGTCATGGGGAGTAGGATCAGTTGCATGTGTAAGGGGGGCTGTGGGGGGGGCAAGAAGAGAGGCTTCTGTGTCTCCTAGTGGGGTGCAGGCGCATGTGCTGACTGTGATAGAAGGTGCTTCCTGAAGTGATGCTGCTGCTGATCCTAGTGGGCTGGTGCAGGGAAGGTGCTGTCATGGTGCCCATGCGGTTGGGTGGGGAAGGGGGGAGGAGACTGGCCTGGCTGTGCCAGCGGTTGGGTGTGAGAGGTGCAGAGAAGCCAGTAGGGCATAGCAATGGGTTTATGACAAGCATAGCTTTGGAAGGGGCCGCAGAGGTCACTTTCTGCATTCACACACACATGCACACACACACACGCCCTTGCTCTCTCACACTCAGATGCAGGATATGCTCTTGCTGAGCCACATGATAATGCAGCATTTGGTGACAAGGGAGGAATGCCATTAGTGTTGCCTTTGCTATGACGTGCAATAAAATATTGTGCAGTAATATATTGTGTTATAAGAGTGAAAGAAGTTGGCTTGGCATGGCATAATGTAGTGTAACTGGGGAAGTGATTGTAGCCAAGATTTCATTATCAGGAAGCATACTCAGCAAGGGGAGATGATGCCGTGGTTCCAGAGCATGGCGTAGCAGTGATAGCATTTAGCATGATGCCAGAACAAGAGGAAGCAATGACATCAATGAAGCAGGATGTCTTTGGGGAAACAAAGCCCTTGTGATGTGCAATGGAGACAAATAATATAGATGCATAGATAATATAGATGCCGTTCCATAGCCTAATGGCACCGATGAAAGAAAAATTGATGTTATCAGCAGTTTGTTTTTTTTTTGGCTGATGTGGCTGATAAATAATGTTGCTGTTAAATACCACATGCATGCAGGGGTTTGTGGGGGAGTTGTGAGGGGTTGTGGTGGGAGTTGAGGGATATAATAGGGAACCCTAGCCCTGTTACCAGAAAGCAGGCCGG